TTTTACAGACAAGAAGCCTGAGGTTCAGAGAGGTTAAGTCTGAAGTCACGCAGCTCTTCTCTAGGGTTAGCCTGTCTTGACTTTGGGATGTGCAGGGGTGTGGAAGCTGATGGTGCCCCTCTACCCAGGGCTGTGTTCAGTAATTTCATGTTGGCTGCTTGAAATTGGCCACGGTGAGGTATGTACACTAGGGAAATCAGTAAATAACACAAGGGGCCTTTTTCTTGTCCTTTTTTGTTTTTCAATAGCTGTATGCAGAGTGCCCTAAGGGGGACCTCCAGCCCTGCTTCTACAGAGTGGCTGGGATTGGGGGTTCCTGGCCGTTCAGGGGCCTGACCCCCACAGCAGAGTACTTTGGTCAGGCAGCCTGAGAGCCATGGGGCTCAGTCCATAGTGTGAGTCACAGTGGTGGCCCCCTGGCCCAGGAAGAGACTGCTGTGAGCCCAGACTCCAGGCCAGAATGACTGGCCTTGAGCCTCCAGGTGACCGGAGCCCTCAGTCGTCTTTCACAGGCGAAATGCCTGACCAGGATGGTGTCCCAGGAGAGTTACCCAGCAGCCTGCGTGAGGCATTGAAGGCTGAGCTCAGGGGGCGCTGGGAGAGGCTCACGGCAGCCCTGCTCCACGCGGGCCCCCGTGCCCCRAGTGGAATCACATCCTCCTGTTGCTGTCTCTGCTCACCCCAGGGAAGCCTCGTCCTCGGGTGCCGATGAGGCCATCAGAGGTCTGGAAGCAAACCAGCTGAGGTCTGAACCACCCACTCAGGACCCAGGTCATCCTGCCCCGGATGCCCGGACCCTCCTCCCACCCGCCTGCTGCCCCCTCTGGACCCTGCTGTCCCCTGCCAGGTGCAGCCAGACTCCAGTGTGGTTGCCAAATGAGACCCCAGGGCTGCTCCCACACCAACCCCAGGTCCGTGCCAGCATCTCCCTATTTTGGGAGAGAGGGATCAAAGCCATGAGAGCCCAAGTGTCAGTCTCCTTGGAGTCCTGGGATCACAGCCAAGGACCAAGGACTGGGGGGAGGAGTCAGAGTCCTAGGGGCTCCACTCAGCCCCTTTAAATAAGGAATTAATCTGGAGGATAATTATTTGTGGATACAGACCAGCTCTGCCCCTAGTGTGCTGTGTGACTTCAGGCAGTCATATAACCTCTCCGGCCTTCTCCCCTCTATCACATGCATGATTACTTAGGAAGGGCCAATGACACAACTCGTCATGCTCCAGAATGCTGAGTGGGTGGGACTGGAGCTGATTGCTCCTTTCCTTTCTGTGATTTCCACATGACCATGTGCTTGCTGTGTAGTGGCCATGTGTGCATAGAGTGTGCACGAGACCCTGGACGGAGGAGGCGTGGGAGGCATGGGATGCCAGAGCCCTCCCTTTCCCCAGCCCCCGTAGGTGGGGACACTGAGGAGGAACACACCCCAGGTCTCGAAAGATCGGGGGGTTGGGGGGGGGTTGTTCCAAGCATAGTAGATGTTCATCTGATGCTTATGTTCAAGCAACTGTTAGTTTTAGAAAATATGCGTAATGAAAAGGGGAACTTCCCTACAACTCACCTACCGATAATCTCTGTAAACATTTTCTTTCTCCCTTTTTCCTTGTCTCCCTCTTCTTCCATGTTTTACTGTACTTTCTTTTCCTTTAGTGGACTCAGACTTGATACGTATCACTTTATATCCAGCTCATTTGCTGAACGCATCATGATTTTTCACCCCATTTTTATTCCTCTGTAGCATGCCCATGGTGGCTCAGAGTATCCCTTTGAGTGGAAATAGAATTCATTTCATGGATCCCCTTTTGTTGGACACTGAGGTTGTTTCTAACCTTCTCCTCTCTGCAGGCCTTAGTCATGAAGTGATGGAGACGGCACTTTCTGGATCTGGACAGCCTGGCTGAAGTCCAGGCTCCTCACCCGTGAAACATCTGCCACCTTGGATTGGCCCAGGACTGAGAAGTGAAAACAAGTCCACGTAGGAGTATTAACAAGGTATTGAAGCCTCGCTGTTAGCAGTGCATCCTGGTATATGCACTTTTTTGGTTTGATTTCTTGAAAAGCATTGATTGTGGTGCACACGGGCGCCTACCCTCCTTGTGACCTGCACCTCAGTTAGCCAAGGGAGGCCTGTTTCCTCCCTTCTTGAACTACTCAGGGTGGGGACATCATTTCTAGCTGGGTCACTGGCCCCCAGGACTAGTTTGGGGGCACCAGGAGATGGCAGCGTTTCCCTCCCCTTGGGAGGGTGGGCTATGCCTTTTAGCATATGGGATTCAAAACCAAGCCACATGAGTGTTTCACCAAGACCAAAGGCATCGTTTGTGAGCAGTTGCTGTGAGCACTTGGCCAACAACCGTAGGCCCATGACCTCATATATCACCCTCAGAACCATGGAAAGTCAGTATCCATTTTACAGATAAAGGAATCTGGGGTTCAGTGTGGTTAAGTGACTTTCCTGAGGCCACACAGCTTCCAGAGGGAAACCTGCAGTTTCCATTTGCCCACAGGCCCTGGGCCCTTGCGGCTGCCCACCGGCATGGCAGTGCTGCCCGTGGGGCAAATAGATCGAAGAACCCCGGAGGTTTAGAGTTAGAAGATAATCTCCGATGGCCTCAGAGAGAATCTCTAAATCCTGGTTCTAAGAAGGGAAGACTCTTGTCCTGGCTCTCCCAGGTGGGGTTGGCTCTGGACTTCCAGGACACTCCTGAAACCCTCACCTGACTCCCTGTGGATTTTAACTACTGGGGTCAGTTCAGCAACTCGGCAAGAGGGTGGGTGAACTGGGGGTGGGGGCTTCCCAGGGCAGGGGGAGGCTGCAGGCCTGGGAGGGGCCGGAGACAGAGCAGCACAGCAGGTCAGGGGTTGCCACCCCAGCTTCCCCAGGAGGCAGTGAAGCCCCGTGGCTGCCCCGCATCCCCGGGCCTGAGGACAAGGTGTGAGGTTCGCTGTCCAGGGCTCAGTGGGTCAGCAGCTGCGGCTTCCCGTGTCCTGGGTGTGCCCTAGGCTGCGTGAGCAAGGGCAGGGACGAGGGACAGCAAGGCTTGGGGTTCTAAGAGCCTGCACCCCAGTGCTAAGGCTGCCCCTGAGAGGGGCTTGGCTGATCCAGGGGCCTCGGGGGTGGGCCCTGCCGGAGGAGCCACCTGGCCTGGCTGGCAGGGCTGCCGCATTAATGAGCAGGGGGGATGGTGGGTGATTGGCAGCAGTCGGGGAGCCCGCCTCCCTCACAATGGCCCACAGGGGCCTCCTCAGGGTTTGRCTCAGCTCCATGGTGGGCTGGGGCTGGGCCTGGAGCCCGCCAGCCAGATGTGGGTGAGAGGCAGAGGAGCCATGGCGCGGGCTGGGAGAGGGGCCTGTGCAGCCCGGCTCTGCCACGCACACCACTGACCGACCCCAGCCCCCCTCAGCAGACACTCACTGCTGGGGACGGTGTGCCAGGCTGGAGGAGAGGCCATCCCGCCCAGCCCTTGGAGGGCACTGGAGCCCTGGGCCTCAGCAGCACTGGCCGCAATGGTAGTGAGCTCACTGAACTCGGGCTGAGCTGCTCTGGGTCCCCTGCCCTGCACTCGGCGGGTGTCGCCTCAGCTCTATGGTGGCTACTCCTAGCCCTGCTTTACAGGCCAGAGATTAGGCTTAAAGAAGGTCAGAGGTCACAGCCAGTAGGAAGTGGGGCTGGGACTTGGGCGCAGGTGGGGATTGCCTTCTCTCCAATGGGGACACCACTGTCCGTCACCTGGAGGCTTTGGGACAGCTGTGAGGGCTGTTCTGCTGGTTTCTCTCTGGATAGAGGGTGGGGCAGCACTGGGAGCTGGCACCGTGGACCAGCCCTGCCCCTCTCCACTGACCCCGTGTCCCTCTCCACCGTGGCTCCTGACCCCCTGGCTGGCCCCGCTGGCCTCGGGCCAGCCCCCCCAACCCGGCTCCCCGTGGCCCAGGCTCTCCGTGGCCCTCCTGCAGCGTGCTCCGACTTCCACCCCTGTGGCTCTTACAGCCCTTCCTGCCCGTCCCAGGCCTCCTCCCCAACCTGCTGCTCTTTGTCCCCGGGTTTTCCACAGGACAAGTCCCTGCCACCTGGACCTTGGAAGTTATGGGTGACCAGAGGCAGACTCTGTTGCTCAGGGGTGAGCCCCGGTGTCAGAACTGGTCACCCTGCGCCTCCCCACTCTGTCCCCTGCACACCTCTCTAGCTTCTTGGCTGTGTGTCCCCAGGGCAGCGGGGCAGTGCTCCACCTGCACTGTGTGTGCCATACACCCGGCACCTGGCGCGCTCAGGGGGCGCCCGCTGGGCTGCCTGGGGAAGGATGGCAGGGCCACTGGATAAATCTGTGCCTGGACCACTGGGGAGCCCCCCAGGGGCACTTACAACAGGGAAATCCACCAGCTCAGCCAGGTCCCTACCTCCATGGTGGCTGTGGCCACTTTAGGGTGAGGCTGTGGCGGAGGTGAGGAGTCTCACGCCCCCCTGAGGAGTGTCCAGGCCCAGCCTGGATCCCGTTGTCATTTGGAAAACAGTATTGGAGCTGGAAGGTCCCCAGGGAGCATCCAATCTAAGCCCCCACTGTACAGTCGGCCAAGGTCACGGGAAGAAAGGGGTCACGGGAGGAAAGGAGCCACGGAAGAAGCAAGCAGAGGATAGAGGCTTCAGGCCTCCTCCCTGGCAGCTGTGTGACCTTGGCCAAGCCTCTAAACTTCTCTGGGCCCCAGTCTCCCAGTCTGTACCTGGAGGCTAGTGTGTAAGATGGTCCCAAGCCCGTGACATCAGAAGATCCGGTGAGCACCTCTCCGGGGCAGCGCAGACCCGCGGTTGAACTGCAAGGGGTTAAGCGCCTGGGCTCTCACTCTGCACCGCGAACCCCTCCTTCTGACAAACACTTGTAGGAAATCAGGCRGGCGCTTCCTGCCGAGGGAGGCAGGCAGGCGGTGGCCTCAGCTGCGCGGGGCGGGGAGAGGTGGGGAGAGATGCTGTCTGTGAGCAGCTTGGGCTGCCTGGCAGAGGCTGGTGAGGGCGCGACGGAGCAGGGGGCTCCCTGCAACAAAGGCCTCCCAGGCAGGTCCTCTGAGCCCCAGCTGCAGGACGGTGGATCCCCAGCGAGGTAAGGAGGGAGGGCTGGTGGGAAGGACAGCTTCCCTGGACCCGCCAGCAGACTCCAGGACAGCCGCCCGGACCAGCCCAGCCAGGAAGTTGCGCTGCAGCAGCTGTTACCACTTCTCCCGGGCTTAGGGGGGCCGGGCCAGGCGAGGGTGGACTTGAGGGCTTTCCTCTGGCTCGGGGTGCAAGAGTCCAGGCCCAGCCTGGATCCCGTGTCCAGTGAACCTGGATGGTGCTCTCCCTCCGTGCCTGGGCGTCCCCTCCTGCACATGCCGAGTTGGTACTCTGGGTCACCAAGGGGCCTCAGACACGCAGGGTGGGGAGCAGCCAGAGGCAGCGGGGTCCCCCCAGGAGTGGCCCTTTCTGCCACATAAGGGCGGGCAGAGAGCCCAGGGGTGGTGAGGGCAGAGTCCCCGACACCAGGGCCCCTTCCTCTTTCTCCGCAGCCCTGCTGCTCCAGGGCTCTGGGGCAGTGGGTGTGTTCAGAGGCGGTGGCCGGTACTTCTTTGAGGACCAGCTTCTGCGCAGCCCGAGGCCAGCCCTGGAGAGCAGTGGTCTGTGCTTGCCCACTGACCGGGCTGCTGAGCTCCGTGGCCAGGTCTCTTGCAGGACCCAGCTGCTGGCTATGGGGCTGGGCCGGGGAGTCTTCCTTCCCCTTCCTCCTGCTCCCCCACAAGTCTGGTGGCCGCCGTTCCCCAGTCCTCGCGCCAGAGCGCCCTGGCACAGGCTGTGAGTCTCGCCACGGCCTGCTGCTTGTCTGCGCCTCTGTTTCCTTACGTGGGAGGAGTCAGGGTGGGGCGAGAGCAGGGGCTGTCCCTGGCTGGATGGGAAGGGGCTTCAGAGGGTACGAGGCGTGGATGGGCATATGCACAGGAGCGTCCTGGAGTCAGATGGCACGAGCCACCGAGCCGGGGGGGGGGGGGACTCAGTTTTGGAATGGCTGAGAGCCCCTCTGTGTGGGTGGTGGGGAAGAAGAATCTGACCTGTGATCTTTCAACTGGAAGATCACAGGGGTCCGTGGGAGGTTAAGGAGGTGACATGGAGATGGGGAGCAGATTTGCAGAAAGTGGGTGGTCTCTCCAGGGCACCTGGGACCCTGAGTCTGAAGGCCCAGTCCTTGGGGGCCTTAGTCCTAACAGGGCTGGTCCTCCTAGGGTCGGCTTCTAGCTCAGGTTTGGCAGGAAGAGCAGCCACCCCACCATGCCCCCCTGAAGGCTGTCTGCTGCTCCCTGCCTTCGTCTGTCTCCTGAGGACCCTGCCTCTAGTTCTCAAGTTCAGCTCATGCTTTGGACCCCATGCCTTTGCCTGTGCTGTTCCCTCTGCCCAGAATGCCTTTCCTCGCTCTCCCCTCAATCTGCTTTGTCCCTGAAGCCCACCCCAAAGCTTCCTCCATCAGTGACCCTTCTGTATTGTCCCCTTCCTGTCCTGTGTGAAATTTTGGAAAGCTTCTACTCTTTTCTGTATTCCTTGTGTGTCTTTTTGGCAGAGGCAGGGTGGGGGGGTACTGGGGATGGAACTCAGGGGCACTTGACCACGGAGCCCCATTTTATTCAGAGACAGGGTCTCGCCGAGTTGCTTAGGGCCTCACTTTTGCTGAGGCTGGCTTTGAACTTGCGATCCTCCTGCCTCAGCCTCCTGGGCCACTAAGGTGACAGGCATGGGCACCGCGCCCCGCTCCTTGTGTCTTTAGTAGTGCCTGGCCTCCAGGAGGTAGGAAGTCCCAGGATTTTTTTTTCTTAATTGATTGGTACCCACCGGGCGCTCAGTATGGATCTTTGGTCCTTTGAAATGGGACCCCAGGGCGGGGTGACAGTTCTGAGGCCCTCAGGACCTGAGGCTGTCCTTAGCCCTACCCCTGCCTCCCTGCCTGCCCAGCAAGACCATGCCCTCTGGGCAGCAGCCAGGGCGTGGTGCTTTCTGTGTGACAGTGAGGACAGTTTCAGCCCAGACGCATGCCAAGAGTGGCAGCCGCACGGGCACCTGATGCCCACTGGGCAGCACATGATGGGCACTGCTGTGTGCTTGTTGACTGACTAGCTGACTGGTGGGTGCTGGGCTCAGTGGCACTGAGGGCTGTGTCTGGCGTGGTGGACACAGGCCTTGCCCAGGGAAGGCTCACAGATGCAGGGGCCTGAGGGGCAGGTGCAAACCTGCAGCCAGCCACCGTAGCGGCCTCTGACGTGCTGCGTCCCCTGGTCACAGTGAGATTTCTGCAGTGACTGAGTCATCCAGAAGACAGGATGTTCCTCTTGGTGCACACAGAGGCCTCTGTGATTGGTCAGGCTGCTCTAGGCAGGGTTAGAAAAAGGCCCTTTAAAAAGTCAAAAAACCACACGCCTCCCCGGGCCCCTTCCTGGGCTGATCTTTCAACTGAAAGATCACAGGGGTCTGTGGAAGGTTGAGGAGGTGACGTGGAGACATGGAGACGGGGAGCAGATTTGCAGAAAGAGGGGTGGTCTCTCCAGAGCACCTGGGGACCCTGAGCCTGAAGGTCCAGTCCTGGGGGCCTGAGTCCTGACAGGGCTGGTCCTCCTGGGGTCAGCTTCCACTCAGCCAGCGACAGCAGCTGCCTCTGATGTGCTGCATTTCCTGGTGACAGTGAGATTCACAGGGGGCTCAGAGGGAGAAGCAGCAGGTAGTGGGCAGCACCTGCTGCCCCTGTTCCTGTGTGTGGCGGAAACCAGGAAAGGCCAGCGAGCTTCCGAGGGTGGGCCCTGCCCAGGCCTGGCTAGGTGCAGTTCCTGGCCATCCCCAGGCAGAGCCAGGCCCTCTGCAGTTGGACCCAGGCATCCGCATGCCCAGAGGATCCTCACACACACTCAAGGTCAAGGTCACTGCCAAGGAATCCCGGAGGCCCACAGTTCCTGCCGAAGGCATGGGAACAGGAGGACTAGCATGTCTGTTCAAACATTTATTTTCTATTGAACTTTCTGAAAATCCGCTTTTGGAGATATTTCATCTAATACATGTAGTATATTGGCACAAGGTTATATACGGGAAGTCATAAGAAAAATATATTCTTACTGATGGGTTGTGTGATCAAAAATAAAAATCAGTAGCCCACTGGGCCAGGACTGATGGTCACAAATTGTGCCTGGGCACTGACCAGCTGGGTGATCTTGGACACATCACTATTCTCTGCTGAGCTTCCGGGTTTTTAGATATTTTGTTCACTTATTTCCATGAGGTGCTGAGCATGGAACCCAGTGCCTCACATGTGCCAGGCAAGCGCTCCACCCCTGAGCCCCAGCCCCAGCTCCAGCTGCTGAGCTTCGGTTTTATCATTTGAAAGAAGTTCACCTGTGACAGGAAGCAGGGGAGGCAGAGAAGATGTCACGTGTCCAGCCGGGCGGGCGGAGTGGGGACATCTTACGTGGTGGAGATGATGGGGCCGAGGGGCGACCTGAGGGGTGACAGGGAAGAAATTCTGGGGCTGYGCACTGGGGACAGAGAGGAGGAAGGAGAAGCCGTGGGGCCCTGTCCCCGAGCTGGGGCAGCAGCCGAGCTGAGGAGTCATTCCTGTGCTTACCCCGTCCTGAGAAGTTGGCCTTTCCTGGGCCACACTGTTCCCTCGGGGAGCTCTGTGTCCAGAAATAGCCTCCTGTTCACTTTCTCAACTGAATGAAGCGAGGCTCCTGCCCTCTGTCTCGAGAGCCTGTCCTCGAACCCGCCTGGCCACAGCACAGAGGGGAGAGCCCAGGCCATGGGCTGCAGACCCACTTCCTCCTGGCCTGCCGGACCCCTGTGTGGCTTCGGGGCAGGCCCCTCCCCACTCTGGGCTGGTCCTCCCACCTGTAGAACAGGCCTTTCCTGAGCCAGCCTGGGGCTGCCCCGCGGTGGAGGGTGGAGGGCCGGGGGCTCCCAGGGCTGTGCTCCTGCTTGTTGGCCCTGCGCTCCAGGCCTGGCTCCCAGGGAGCGCTGGCAGGGGCTGGATGTAGGAGAGCGGGAAGCGCAGAGGGAGAAGGGGAGGAGAGGAGGCGCCTCCTCGGGCCACCATCCCCTTGACCAGGGTCCATCCCGACAGCCAGCTCTGGCCAGGCCTCCTGCTCCGCTTCACTCCCTCAGAGCAGCCAGAGGAACTGCCCAGGCCCACTGGGACACACTCTGTGCTGGACACAGGACCTGAGAGGCCCGCCTGGAGCAGTCTACCCCTTCCCTCGCCACTTTCCCTGCTGCCAATGTCACCAGGCCCCAGTTACCCCAGTACGTGGGAAACCTCCCCTTGTCCAGGGCAGCACCCGCCAGGCTCGACCCTCCGGTCCTGGCCTGTGTCCCCTGGTCCCCTTGTCTGGAATGCCCTGTTAGTTTTTTCCTCTGTATTGAAGTGAGATGGATAGAACATACATCAACCACTTCTACGTGAGCAGTTCAGTGGCATTTAGTGCGTCCACTGCACTCGGTCGCCCTCCTCTGTACTTCCAGAACACTTTCATCATCCCAAATGGAAACCCTGCCCGTCAAGCAGTTCTGGGCCATTCTCTCCCCTGCCCCTGCCCACCCCGCCCTCCTCCTCTCTGTGTGTAGACCTGCCGTCTGGACACCCCTGTAGGTGGCTTGGTGCACCACGTGGCTTCAGTGTCTGGCTTCCCTCACTTCGCATGGTGCAAGGGACCAGTGTCAAGACTGCAGCCCCCTTTAATCCCCCTCATTCCTTTTTGTGGCTGATTAATACTTCATTGTGTGCCGAAGCCACACGTAGTTTACCCATCCGTGCATCCATGGACACGGGCGCTTCTACCCTTGGGCTGCTGTGCCCAGCGCCTTGGACAGGTGTGGGCCTGGGTTTGTTTGGGCGCCTGTTTTCAATTAGTTCACCCCCTGGGATGATCTCTTCAGCATTCCCCACTTTGAACCTAAATTCTCCTCCCCATTATAAATGGCAGTCACCACCTGTCACCTGGAGCTGTGCTGGCCTGGGCATCTCTGCTCCCCCAGGCTGCCAGTCCTCCAGGGAGCAGGGCCTGTGTGTGGACCCTGGTCCACAGGGACAGTCACTGGATGGCCAGTGATAACAGTGACACCAGACACCTGTGGTTGGTGTACTGGCCGCTGGTGTCCTTATCTAGTGTCCCAGGGAGTTTTATAAAACCCTGGAGGGAGGTTCTTATCCCAGTGTGACCAATATATCAAGTGGAGACAAAATGTCTCTCCCAAGGTCCTGCAGCTTCGAGAGGATGGAGCGGGAGTGGACAGGGCCCGTTGGCCCCTGAGTCCTCCTGGTGACTTGCTCTTGTTCTGAACCAAGGAGGAGTCTCTAAGAATAACGTTGTCTCTTGATCGTGTCCTCAACAGGCCACAGGCAGGATGGCTGGTGCTGAGAAGAGCCTGCAGTGACTCTGGGGTCCCCAGCAGCAGCTCTGTCTCCTGAAGATGAAGCGGCGGAGGTGAAGCCCGAGCCAGGCTGATGGCCAGCTCGGGGACTGAGGTCCACTGGGCCGGGCCAGGCCTAGGGAAGGGGCCCCAGCAGCGGCGGCGCTGGGCCTGGGTTGAGGAAAAGGATGCAGAGAGGATCAACACTCGCGGCTGGGGGGACGGGCAGCCCTTCCCCAGTGCCGCCAGCCCCGAGCTCCTGGAGGACTTCCGCCTGGCCCAGCAGCAYCTGCCACCCCTGGAGTGGGCCCCAGACCCGCAGGAGTCAGGAGGGTCTTCAGGAGAAGGTGAGTCTGACCCCCCACTCCCACCCTCAGGCATCCAGGGAGTCGGGGAGCCTTGAAAGTCTTCATTTTATAATATAAAATCTATGACTCAAGACCTTAAACGACTTTAGCTGTGACACTGCACGTGGCATCAGACCCTCAAACACAAAAAAGAGGTGAAATGAACAGTCGCTCCATATCCCAGCCACGGAGAACCCCCATTTCCCTGGGCGCGGATGTGCAGACGTGACGGGACGTGGACCAGCGTTCCGCGTGCTCCTCGTCACCTGCCCCTTGTTAAGTCCTCCGCCCTCCCCACACCGCCACAAGCCACCCCTCACGCTGGCCTGGAGGTCCAGGTGTGTGTCCACGGCGGGACCTTCCACGCCTCAGGTGTCCTGGAGCTTCTCATGTGATCATAAATGGTGTCACTGGCTCCTCCTGGAACACCTGGGTCTGTGACACCTTTGGTGGTGGGAAGGCTTGGTGCAGGGGTTGTGTTCCCTTCGAGGCCTTGGACTCTCACTAGCGTGGCCATCTTGGTGGTCCTCGTTTCCCTTCGTGTCAAGCCCACTGCAGACCATCCCCGGGCTTTTCCTGCCAGGACTCTTCCCTGATCTCGGTTTCCCCTTCTGTGAAGGGGGTGCCGGTGCCGCTGGACACCGGGCCTGACACATGGTGCGATTGCACTTAGATTGTGACGGAAAGGCCCGTTTCAGGGCCCTGGGCATCAGCAGAGCCCCTGTGGGTGGGAGAGGAGCCATTAGGCCAGGGTGTCCTGTGCCTGATGTGCCCCGCGTGCCTGCTCAGTGGGCATCTGGGCTCCTTCAGGGAATGGGGACTGAGATGCCCTGTGTAACAGGACAGAGGCCCCCCTTCCTGGGGCCACATGGTAACTGACGCCTGCAATAATGTAACAGCTGCCACCGTGTCCCTGGGTCCATCCCATGTGCTGGACACAGGACTGGACCGAACCTGGCCTTCTCTCCTCCATTCACTCCCTGCTCTGCCAGGTAGGAGGGCCAGGCCTCCAGTTTGAATAAGGTCAGTGACTCGCCCAGGCCCCAGGGAGGGGTCAGAGGAACTGAGTGAACCCTGGCTCTAAGGTCGACTGCACGGCCAGGCCTGGGTTCGAGGTCCAGGGCTTCTCTGAAGTTACCCAAGAGCAAGTTCATGCCTCTGGGCCTCGATGTGCTGCTCTAAAGCTGCCGTCAAGGGAGGAAAATGAGCCTGGGAGGCACAAGTGACATGGGGTGACCAGGGTGTGCCCAGCCAGAGCAGAGAGCATATTCTTGGTGTCACCCAGACTTGCTCATGAAACTCTTCTATCCCAGAAGACGAAAGAGCAGGTACTTAACAAGCACACTGCGGACGTTGGCTGGACAGGGGTGACAAGGGGACGGGGACGAGGACAGTGGCGGTGGGGGTGGGGGGGGTGTTCCTGAGCACCCACTGTATAGTCATCCAGCCACTCCTCTGCCTTAGGGCTTCACGCACATGACCTTCCTCCCCTTCCTTCTCCCCAGTCAGCGCCGGGTGTTGAGCACCTGCTCTGCCAATGCAGCGGTGCCCACCATGCCTGTCATTGTCCTCGCAGAGCTCACAGTGTCCTAGGTGACACAAACAAACATCTCAGGGCCGCAGCCCCTGAGATGGGTGTCCCAAAGTGCAGCCGTCCGCCCCTTGAGAGTGTACACTGGAGAGTGTGACCTCGTGGTGGGGGGTTCAGGACTTCCCTGTGGAGCCAAGTGGATCTGGTGCTCAAGGACGACTGGGAGGCACTCCCTGGGCAGAGGGAGGAGCCCTGCAGAGGGCAAAGCGTGTGCACCCAGGAGGGAATGCGGGGCTCCGTTGGGAGCAGGGAGAGCTTGGGTGAACATGGAGAGAGATGGGTCAGTGGAGCCAGTGGGGTCCGAGTGGCAGGGGCCGTAGGGCCCGCTTTTGTCCTAGAGCCACAGGGAGGTGCAGATGAGACGAGGGTGTGGCCGAGGAGGTAAGCAGGTGGCTACTGCCATGTCCAGGCCTGAGAGGATGTGGGCCGGGGCACAGCGGTGGTGATGAACTTCAGAGCGGTCAGCAAGTTTGAGAGCTCTGGAGGAGGTAATGGGGCAGGGCCAGGTGACAGAGTAGGAGCATTAGGGGGAGAGAAGTGACGGAGACCTCCAGGCCTCTGTCTTGGGAGCTGGGTAGGTGGCACTGCCATTTGCTGAGATGGGAGACCCTGCAGGGGTGTGGCCATCCAGGTTTGCGGCTGGAGATTGAAGAGGTGTCCCGGAAGGACTTGGCTCTGTGGGGGCTCGTCGGGATTCTTGCCATCCCTAAAGCAGGAGGTTGAAGTGACGTGGGGTTAAGTCACATAGCTGACCAGCCCCCGCTAAGTGACAGATGACTGTCTTTCCAGAGCCTGAAGCAGAGGTCGTGGACAGCCCAGAAAGTTCCACCCTGCCTCTCCACTGGCCCCCCCAGCAGGACTGTCAGTTGAATGTGACCGAAGAAGAGTCAGAGGAAGTCCCTGGGGGTCCTGAAGCCGAGGACCCTGGGGAGAGCTCCCCGCGGCCGGGGCAGGAGGCCGCTCTCAGCTCAGAGCACCGCGGGAACACCTGCACTGTGGCCCAGGGACAGGCTCAGGCCCGAGGCTGGGTGGCCTCTGGCCAACAAGCCAGTGGAAGCCAACTTCCAGAACATTCTGAGGTCAGCCCATCTGTTGAACTCGGCTCTGCCAGGTCTTGGAGCAGTGGCACCGTGAGCCTGGGCCGCAGCAGTGACAGCCTTAATTCTTCCTGGGAGAGAGAGACGGATGTCCCCCAGCCCACGGCCCTGGCAGAAAACCTGCCACAGAGCCCCTGCCACCACCTCAGCCCAGATGACAGAACTGGAGGCAGTGTTGCTCCGGCAACGCCCACAGAATTCCAGGACCCCTTAGCACCACCAGCCCAGAGCCCCCAGAACGCTGCAGGCACATGGAAAAGAGCTACCACCAGCCTGTCACGGCCTGCCGACCAGGCCTGGAAGCAGACGAAGACATCACCTAAGCCATTGCCCTCCCGATTCACTGGCTCCGTCAGCCCCCAGAATCCCCGGCCTAGGCCAGCTCAGAAGGACAGGTCTCTGCCCAGGCACGGAGCCACTCTGGCCAACCACTCCTCTTCTGATGCCCCCAAGTATGGCCGGGGGCGTCTGAACCACCCGCTCCCTGATTTCTCCAAGGTGGGGCCGCGAGTGAGGTTTCCCAAAGATGAGAGCTACCGCCCCCCCAAGTCCCGAAGCCATAACAGGCAGCCTCAGGGCCCCACTGGGCCCCTGATCTTCAAGTCACCAGCCGAGATCGTACAGGAGGTGCTGCTGAGCAGTGGAGAAGCATCCCTGGCCAAGGACCCACCTCCTGCCCACCCCATCTCCAGGGTACCCCAGGAGTTTCAGACGCCCGAACAGGCCACTGAGCTGGTCCACCAACTCCAGGTGAGCGGGGCTCCTGCCTAGGATCGAGTCACCCGGGCACCTGTTGGCTGTGACGGAGGCAGGCAGGGATAGGGAGCCTTGGGTCTGGCCAGGCGTCCCCTGCCAACGGTGGGAGAGCTGTCCCCTGAGCCATGAGGCAGACCTAAGCCCTTTGGTCAAAAAGAGCCAGGACTGCTCACGTCTGCTGTGGCCAACTCCTGCTGGGAGAAACCCAGATACACGCAGGGGAGAATCGTACAGTGGACGCCACATTGTGCGCCCCGGCAGCTGCCAAAGCCTTCTCCATCTGTGTCTGACACCCCCTGCCCCCCGTCATTTCACCTCTTAGTGCCTCAGTAATGACCACCTGCCTGAGCATGGCCGCCATGCCACGTGAGACCTAAAAGGCCCTGGACACTGTGGTTCAGATACCCAGGCGGCTCTCAACCCCTGGTCTGTGTGCCCCGTGGTGTTCCTCTCAGTGAGTTTGAGGGTCCTTCAGGGTCCCTTCAGGGAGTGGTCCCAGGAGCTCCTGTCTGACGTCTGACTCACTTCCAGGCCTCCCCCCGTGTTCTCTTTCCCTTCTGTTCGATTCTCTTTCAACCCATGTCTGTCCTCTTGCTTCTTCCTTGGAACTTATTTTGGGAGGCTGGTGCCCCCTGGGAGCCGCCCCCATCCTGCACCTTCACCCGGGCATCTCGTGGGGCCACTGGCCATCTGAGCAAGATGCTTTTTTGGGCCACCATAATCTGTGTGCCAGAGGCCCAGGCTCCGTGGAAGGAGTGTGCGGCCCTAGACTGCCCCGCAGGCCCGCCCGCCCCCTCCAGGGAAGGCCTGACCGTGGTGTCTGCAGCCCGACAGTCGTGCCCTTGACCAAGCCCTTTATTTGGGTGACAAAATGGCAGTATTCTCATATGGCCGCTCCTTCTGCATTCATGACCAGGAATTTTCTAAAAAGTAAACTCCTGCCTCTCACGGGTGGTCTCCAAGGTCTGGCTCCCGTGGGGAAGACCAGGAGGCTCCATCTGCCCTTTTCCTGACCTGTCTGCMGAACCTTGAGTGGGCTCCTCTCACCCTGCAGAGGTGACCGGCGACACTGATCATTGAAGGCAGATGATTCTGATTCAATGAAACTGTGACTTCTGAGTCTCCTGTGTTTCCACCAAGGGACCCTTGGGTGACCCATTCAGCCAGATTTTGAAAATAGTCATGAAGCGCAGGCTGCTTCAACACCAGGAGCCGTGCCGGTGGGAAGGTGGGCGGCCCTACCCCACAGAGCTGGGCAGGGGATTTGGACAAGGAAGAGAGAAAGGGCCACCCTGGGGGGGTTGTGTGTCCACGTGCCCTCCGAGGCCTCACCCTGGCTCCCTGAGGGCTGGCCTTGCTGTCCTGTGCCCCAGGATCTGGACGTGGGGGGGTCTGTACGTACAGCACCCAGAGATGTCTGCTGGGTTCCTACCTTGAACCCTGCTCCAGGGACCCGGGACCTCCAGGGAGGGGGCTCAGCCTCCAGGGCCTCTCGCAGGGCGGGGTGCTGCGTGCCTGGTGTGACGGTGGTGCTCTCCTTCCTGCAGGAGGACTACCACAAGCTCCTCACCAAGTATGCGGAGGCCGAGAACACCATCGACCAGCTGCGCCTTGGGGCCAAGGTACCTGGAGGGCTGGGTGGAGGGGTCCCCAAGTCCTCTAAGAGAGGGCACTTTCTCATGGTCTTAGGGAGGGGCCACCACCTCCTGCCTCACTTTAGAAAAGGGAAAGTCCCACATCAGTGGTCCCTTCTGAGCATAGTGGAGCCCAGCCCTGATTCTACCTCAGTCTCTCTGTGACCTTGGCCATGACTTTGCCCCCTGGGCTCACGGCTGATGAGCTTAGATACCATGAATGCAGATTGTGGGGCAACCAGGAAATTCACTGGAAGCCTTTTTSTTCTTAGATGAGCTTTGGGATAAGTCGCCTGGGGTGTGACTCTTGACTCCATCACTAATCAGCTGTGTGACCTTGAAGAGAGAACTTGGGCTCTCTGAGACTCGAGGGACTAGCACAGTTTCCGGTGCTTGTTTCCTGGGCCTCATCTTCCTGGGTCACACCTTTGCCATCTCCCCCACATCTGGTCCCCACATCCGGTCCCCAACACCCAACAGAGACTGAGCACCATGTGGRGCAGGGTTGTGTGGAGGGGAGACTTGCCCCCTGGAGACGGGCTGCTGTGCTGCCCAGCTCCGACCTGTCTTGGGAAGAGGCTTCATCCTGCTCTTGGACCTTCCTCTTTCCTGGGGTGAGGCAGGAAGTGGGGGCTGTCACGGCCTGGTGGCTTCCTGCTGTCTGCCTGCCCTCTCTTGCCCCTCGAAGCTGCCGTGGAGGCCTGGCAGCTGCAGGGCACAGACGCAGCCCCTCACCTGGCGTGGGTGCACCCCTCTCCTGCACGGCTTGTCCCTCTTGGGCTGCAGCCCCCTCCCCTGCCATATGTGGCTTTCATGTTTAGAGGTGCTTCTGGGCGTGTGGGTGGAGGCGGCACAGTGAGAGAAGAGAGGAGGCCTGTTCTGGGACCCATTCTCCTGCATCCCCACCACCCAGGGTAGCAGCGTCCCTTCCCACCCTGCCCTGGTGGGGTGCGTCTGTAAGAGGGGCTGAGCGCACCTTCCTTCTGGGAGCCAGTGACCTGGGCCCTCCCAGTGGTGAGCCAGACCCAGGGATGGAAGGGACAGGAGTTGCTGCAGACCCAGAATGTCCCAGGAGAAAGGAACTGGTCACCAGGCCCAAAGCTGCCAGCAGCCCCATTTTACAGGTTGGGAAACCTGGGCCCCAGCTGGGGGGTGGCTGCTGCAGGTCCGGAAGTGGCCCCGGGCGGGTGCTGCAGCACCTCCTCCCCTCCCCCCACTGGTTGAAGGAAGTGGTGAGCATGGCGGCAGAGACCTGGCGCGTGCATGGCAGCCACCTGGCAGGATTAGGGGGTGTTACCAGAGATGTGCTGGGCAGGGGCATGGGCTAGGTGGACACTGGGAGCAACCAGGACCTCCTCTCCTGGATGTTCCTGACCCAGGACTCGGGGGCCTTCCCATGGGCACTGGGCTGCCTGGCTGAAGCCCTGGTCAGGTGTCCAGCTGGCAGGACCAAAGGCAGGAGAGGTTGGGAGCAGCTCAGCGTAGCTCACCCCTTTTTGCTTTCATGGTTGCCATGGGAGAGCACCGTAGAGTTGGGCCCAGTCCCAGCCACAGGGGTTACGKGCCCAGAGTGAGGGAGACCTTGCCCCGGGTCCCACAGGGTCCTCATTCTGGACCCTGTACACTCTGCTCTGTAGACTCAGGAGACCCCAAGAATACACCCTGCTCAGAGCCCTGGTCAGAGAGCCCCGTCAGGGAGCCCGGTCCCCTCACCAATCCTGCCACTCGGGCTAAGCAGCGGCTGTGACTCCCTAGGGTTTGCTGAGCCCCTTGCCCTGCCCAGAGCCCATGGGGGAGGGGGCTGGCGCAACCTGTGGCCGCCCAGACCAGGCCTGCAGTTTGTGGGTGGGCACGGGTGTGGACCCACGGGAAGGCGACACTTGCCAAACTGGTCAGAGGTGCCAGGCCTGGGCCCAGGGTCGTCTCATCTGATGTCTCCACATGCAGAAACCGAGGCTGGGCGGGGGAGAGGTTTGCTCAGCCTCCCACAGCTGGCCTGAGAGGCAAAGGTGGGAGCTGACATCTGTCTGCACATTCTAGGTGCCACCCCAATCCTGGGAAGCCTGCYGCACCCTGGCACGGCGTGGTAGGCCTGGGCATGAGGCAGGTGGAGGCAGGCGGTAGTGATGAGGGTGGCGAGCGGCGCTTGCTGCGGGCAGTCCTGGTSGTCTACAGAGCCTGCGACTTGGCCACAGAGGCACTGTTCACACCACAGGGCCACAGCCAGAGTAAAGGCCCAGGACCTGCAGCAGGGAAGCCGCCGGCTAGGGGCAAGCCCTGGGCTGGAAACCTCAAAGGATCTGGAGCCAGGCGCCCAGGGCCATGTGGCACGGGCCGGGCACCAGCATGGCCAGGAGTCTGCTGGGCTCTGGCCAGAGTGTGTGAGGCCATCACCACATCTGCTGCCTTGTCACCACCTCCCCCACGCCCTGGTCCCTCCATCTCAGGTGCAGGGGATGTAGAAGGGCTGAGGTGACCAGAAGTTACCCCAGAAGGAAGTAAGGGATGACATAAATGGCCTTCCCCACAGTGTGCTCTTGGTCCAGAAGCCCTGGTGGGGGCAGGGCGGGAGGCTGTGTTCAGGGTGCAGCTCCCCTCCCCCGCCCCTCCCCTCCCCTCCCCCATCCCTCCCCCTCCCCTCCCACCCCATTCATAAGGCCCATTAGCATTCTGAAGGCTGGAGGAGTCCATCTGTGCAGAGAATGCTCCTGAGTTTAACCCAGTGTTTCCCAAACTCACTACCCACCCTGCCCAGAATCCCTCAGGGAGCCTTCTGCCCAGCCTCAGGGAGCAGCRTGGGACATCGGGCTTGAAAGGGGTGCTCTAGCCCCAGGGGCRGTGTCTCCGTGTCCCAGGAGGGACWGGTTGCAGCTGTCACCCCCTYGCCCACTCCCCACCTCCTCTGGGCATCTGCACAGGCTGTGGGCYGCTGCTTTGGGCTCTTCTGATCCCTCAGGACACTTTCCTGCTGCTCCCCAGGTGGGGTCTGGGGTTGGGGAAGGGGTGGCATGGGTGGGAGGAGAGAAGGCATCTCAGGGCTGGGCCCCCCCCTGGGATTTGGGTCACCTCAGGAGGAGAGGGGTGCTGTGGGCAACCCCCGCAGGCGCAGGTGGGCGGGGGCAGGGCTGAGCAGATGGCCAGGGGATTATTAAAATCCAGCTTTGTTCTCATCTGGTGGGGCTCAGCCTGGTAGAGGGGGACCCAYAGGGCCAAGTCACACGTGGGCTAGATTTTTTCTGCCCCATCCAGGACCCATAGAGCAACATGAGCATAAGAAGCTGTGTACCTGGGCACCAGGGAGCCCCCTCCCATAGGCCCACTTTCAACTGCCTTTGACCTTGGGGCAGCAGGGAGCCAGTCRGGATAACCCACCCRACATCATGWTGGGGCCCAAGGCAGCACTGGAGTRTAGCTCCTCCAGGGTCTTGTTCCACACTGGCCACGTGAACAGTTATGGTGGGGATGATGGGGATGACGGTGAGGATGGTGATGATGATGGTGCTGGTGATGGTGGTGATGCTATTGATGATGATAATGGTGGTGGTGGTGGTGATGGTGATATGGTGGTGACAGTGGCGGTGGTAGTGATGCTATTTATGATGGTAATGGTGGTGATGGTGATGATGATGATGGTGGTGGTGGTGAAGGTGATGGTGATAATGGTGGTGATGGTGGTGGTGGTGGTAGTGGTGGATGATGGTGGTGGTGGTGATGGTGATCATGGTGGTGATGGTGGTGGTAAATGATGGTAATAATGGTGGTGATGGTGATGATGATGGTGGTGGTGATGGTGATGGTGACAGTGGTAGTGGTAGGGTGATGGTGGTGGTGATAGTATTGATGATGGTAATGGTGGTGATGGTGATGGTGAAGAAGATGGTGGTGGTGGTGATGATGAAGATTATGGTGGYGATGATGGTGGTGGTGGTGCTGATGATGGTAGTGATGATGATGATCGTGACGGTCGTGGTGACGATACATATGAGGGTGGGAGCCGCTGTTTATTGGGTGCTTACTTCATGCCTGGAAACATTAGCTCTAGGACCCCCAGGGGTGTGGTTGGGGAGTGTGGGGAGGAAGCTGGCTGTGACTCCCGAGCACGTGCACTAAGCCAGGGCTGGAAACTCTGTAAAGGGCCAGGTGGACGGTTCTGCTCTGTGGCCCTGACCATCTCTGTCACGGCTGCCCAGCACTGCTGCTRTGGAGGGAAAGGTCGTGGCCGTCATGGGAGCATGTGGGCGTGGCGTGCTCAGGCAGCCCCATTCCTAGAAGCAGACCGTGGTACCCCAACTCTAAACTCTTCATGGGCCACAGTTCCTTCATGGACCACGCTGAGCTTCAGCTGGTCTAACCTGGTCAGTGCTCCCTCCGGAGACTTCCTCCCGGGGATCATGAAATCCATTCTCAAATGGTGGCGATTTGCTACAGCAGGGCACTCGTTTGCCCACTTGGTGGCTCGTTCTTTCATTCAAACATCCATTGATTGCTATTCATTAACCATATAATAATAATTGTTGGAAATATTTTATTTAATTAAAAATATCAATAATTATGACTATTAYATATTATATAGCATAATTACATTATTAATGCCATTAATAACAATTGTTAATAGTGGAAAACCATGGGCTTTGGGGTCAGATAGACAGTGTCATAATCCTAGTCCACGGATTTTTCAGCTGGAAATTTTGAGTAAGTGACTTAACCTCTCTGAGTCTCAGTTTTCTCCTCTGGAAACTGGGGGTGATGTTCCCCGTCCTGCCTCCCTTTTGGGACCACAGTAAAAAGCAGACAAGGGCACGTGAGCTGCTCACAGTGCTGGCCTGCTGGCTCCGTGGTGGTCTTTATCACCAGGTGGGCCAGGGCTCCTGGCAGAGGCCAGTGGCCTGAGGCCTCCCGGGTGAGTCCGCTGCCTGACTGCACCGCCTCCCTCTGTCTCAGGTGAACCTGTACTCAGACCCGCCCCAGCCCAGCCACAGCATCCAGGTGGGGATGATGCCCCAGGGGACCAAGGCCTTGTCCTTCACCATCCCCCAGCCCTGCTCTGTGGAGTGGTGGCCTGGTCCCTCTGAGAAGCCCCAGGCCCCGGGGGCTACAGGTGAGTCTGGAGTGCGTGCAGGCTCCCGCCTGAGGTTCTGCTGGGGGACTCGGTTTGCCAGGGAGATGGCACTGGCCTCAGGCAGGGGACGGAGGGAGCCAGGCGCTCCCTGGGCCCTTTGACCTGAAGAGGCAGTCAGCTGGGGAAACGCCCTGCTTCCAGAGACGCTGGGTGGGCCTGCTGTGCCGCGTGGCGTCTYGGTGGCAGTGGGTGAGCTGTGACAGAGCCTCGTTCCTGTAGCGCCTGCACTGTTGTGCCATGATSGTCTCAGGTCACCCCGTCAGCCTGAGGCCTGCACTGTTGTCACCCAGGATGGATGGGAGGTGGGGCACGCTGAGGTCGYGCTGCAAGAAGGGGAAGGCTCCGGACCGGAACCTGGGTCCTCCTGAGTGGAGCCTGGAGCTCTGCCCCTCCCAGCCGAGCCATCTGGGCACCTCCGGCCTGGTTCTCGCAGGCAGATGGGGCAGCCTGCTGCCCAGGGCTTCTCCTCAGCCACAGTGAAGAGGGCCCAGCTGGCCCAGCTGTGGTGGCCTTGGGGTTGGGCACTGTCTGTCTGCCCRTGAGGACTGTCCTTGGTCTCAGTGCCCCTGGCTTTGTATTTCAGGGTGGCCATCAGCTCAAGGATCCCTGAGCCCCTCCTTGCCTGCTAGCAAGCCTGCCTCAGGGTGGCTTCCCGAGAGCCAGGGCACCACCAAGGACCTGTCCTCCATGGGGTGGACCCAGGCCCTGGCTTCCCAGACCAGTCGGTTCCTGGCCAAGGTGAGCAGCCCCCAGCTCTGCCCCAGCAGGACTTAACTGCCTGAGGTCTCAAAAGGCCTCTAGGATGCCCGCCGTCACCCCTGCCCTTGCACTGAGTCCACTTGGCTCCGTCCAGCACGACCCTCTCTCCTGGCTTAGAAGCCACACTGCTGCAGCCCCCTCCCCATCACCCCAGCAGCCGTGACCTTCTTTTTCGGCATCGCCTCCCGCCAGAAACCTGCATGTGTGTTCCAGGCGTCCCCTGGAGCCCAGCGAGACTCCACTCTGAGAATTCTGGAGGAGTGACARGGCGTGCCTCTCCCCCTGGTGGTTCACCTCATTACTGAAACAGTTCTGTCACGCTCACAGGGCCTCAGTATTTCATCAAACACTCCAAGTCACTGAATCGTTTGCAGGTTTTTTAATAAATACACAGTTGGCCTTTCTCCAAAAGTGCTTAAAGCAGCTTATRAAAATACCTAACGTTTTAACCACATTCTGAAAAAGGAAGTTAAGAAACTGGGGCYGAGAGGAAGTAAGGGGGGAGAAAAACATAGGGACTTTGTGAAATGAGTTAGCAAAGTGTTCCGTGGGACCCCGAGCACTTCACCACAATCCCACCCTGGCCTTGAGCTCCCCTTGCCAAGGCAAAAATGGAAATGCACCAGGACCGTAGAGCCCCTTCCTCAGAGAAACGCCCCCGTCCCGTCTGTGAGACCTCCCTGTCCCCACTGTCCCGGCCAGCACGCCTCTCGCCTGCGCTCTRTGTCTGCGTTGGCCTGCTCTGGTCATTTCACATAAGTTCCGCGGTGTTTTCCAGGCGCATCCATTTTCGGGTACCATGTTCAAGGTCCCCGTTCCTCTTTATCTCCACCATTCTTGGTCCCGTGGCTGGAGAGACTTTGCTTCCCATCCTGTGTGTTTTCCATAAAGCAAAGTCAGCCACCACGCCAGCAAGCGCTGGCCACTAGCTGACCCCTTGTGATCCGGGCTGCACTCTTGGACACAGGCCGCTGGCCCCTGTGACTGTTGGGGTCTTGACATGTGATGGTCTGAGTGAAGACAAGCAGAGGGTCATAGAACACCCACCAGCCCTCCAGGACAGTGTGGGGAGGAGACACAAATCCCCCCACCATCTGTTACATGGAACACAGGTTGAAGSAGTATTTGGGGTCAAATAAAATATGTTATTAAAATTTATTTTACCTTTTTTTGACATTTTAACTCCTAAGGAATTTTTAAATTGTACGTGTAGCTCATAGTACATTTCTAATTTATACATGACATATTTTAGTATAATTATATAAATCTCTGCATCATACTTCAATACTGATCTCCTAGAGACTCCCTAAAAGCGAACCCCAAATAATCTCTTGCTTTTTCTTTTTCTTTCTTTTTTTTTGGTAAAAAAATACAAATAACAATTTGTGAAGAAATAGATGCACCTAGGATGTATAGACCCCCACCCCCGATGCTCAGAGGGTCTGTTCAGGGGGAAGGCTGTCTCTCCCCACAGGGGAAGATGAAGGTCATGGGCAAATCCTCCATTTGACATAAGGGGCTTGAGCATCTTCAGATGTTGACATCTCTGGGGGCCTGGGACCAAGGGACAACTGTACAAGAAAACATCATCCCACTTTTTCCCCTGTGTTTCCTATGTGTTTTGTAGAGGGCAGTGCACTGGAAACACTGTCCGGTACCTGGATTTGACACTGAAGGTGTCTAAACATGAGACCCTGCCCATGTCCCCCTCCTTCTGGGGTCTGTGTGCTGTCCATGGACAGGTATTTAGGCTACTTACAGTCTGACCCCTCGACGGGCTGCCATAGACGCCGTCCCTGGGACCCACACACAGGACCGAGTATGCTTTGTTGTCAGGAAGTTCCAGCAGGCTCCACTGGGACCTCCCAAGGTGTCCTGGCCAAGGCCCGTGGCAGTCCGTTTCCAGTGCCTGCCTCCTGCTCAACAGAAACCCCGCGTCCCCAGGCCAGGCCCAACCCTGCAGGCGGAAGTACGACGTGGAGGAGCGCGGAGGTCTGCAAGGTGCAGAGGGCTCTGGGTTGACGGAGCACATCTCTTCCCCTCTCAATGTCCAGGTGGAATCCTTCGAGGGACTGGTGCAGGCGGGGCAGCTCACACCCCAGGACCAGCTYAAGGTACTGACCTGTCCAGGAGATGCCCATGGAGCCACTAGACAGCTCTGTCCCCAGAGCACAGTCTTCGCAGCTTCTTACTGCATTACGGATGAGAGTCCCAGACAGGGTTCCTTTTAGAGTAAACAACTCCTGCTTAGCTTCCCCGGGCAGTGGTCACAGTATCACAGGACTTACCACCTTATCAGCCACAGCCTGGCCGGCCAGGCGCCATGGTAAACCCCCGACGTCTGTTATTTTATCTTCATAAAAACCCAGAAGGCAATTGCAGCCATCACCTTATTTAACTGCGGAGGGATTAAAGCCCAGAGCAGCTACGAGAATGCCACACAGTCTTGGGCAGCAGAGCCTAGAGCCAGCTCCTCCTGACTCCCACGCTTGGGTGCAGATCTTGGTTGCGCCACTCACTCAGTCACTGTGACCTTTAGTCACCAACTTCAGTGACCTCCCTGATCCTCAGCTGCCTCCTGTTTSAGTGAGATGATAAACTGTCCTCTCATTGGGGTTGTGGTGGAGCTGGGGGGGTGGGGTGTGACACGGTGCTTCAGCACAGGCCACACTCAGCCAGTGCTGGTCATCATCACGGGCAGCGTGCTGCCATCGTGCCATCTGTCATCATGGGCTACTAGGACTTGGGTGAGGGGTTCATTTTCTGAGACCCAGTTTTGCAGAGTCTCTCGAGTGTGATTCTTAGGGGGACATAGTGACGGTACATTGGACACTGCAACTGTGTGGTCCTCAGGTCCCTGAGGGTCTGCCCAGGCAGGGTGGTGCCCAGGCTCTGAGTCAGGCCTCTGCCTCCTGGGCTGGTGTCATAGAGCGCAGGGCAGAGGCCTGGGCTGGGACAGCAGTCCCCGGGGCTCCTGTGTGCAGGACAGAGCTGAGGGTCTGGACACTCAGGGCTTCCTGGCTGGTCTGGTTTCAGGGCTTCCAGCAGCTGAAGGCCACCCATGCGGCCCTGGAGGAGGAGTACCTGCGGGCCTGCAGGGAGCCACACCTGGCTTCGCCCCTGGCCAGCTCCAAGGGGACCACTGGGAAATTCGATCCTGCCAGGTACAAGCTGAGGAGGCCCAGGAAACAGGCGGGGCAGGCCCCTGGGTTTCCTGGGTCACCAGGAGGGTGTAACTTCAGCCTCACAACTCGCACACCAAGCAGCAGAGCAGTCCTCCCAGTCAGGACACAGATGGCCGAGCTCCGGAGCCTGGAGCCCTAGGGGCCTGGGAGGAGGGCTGATCCCCTCCTGGGCCTTGAGGGCAGCCTGGGGACAGTGGAGGGACCTGGGCTGAAGCCTCCTGGTTCCCGTGGAGTCTTCTCTCGGCTTGTTTATTTCAGCTCTCAACGTCACCCAACTGGTGACATGAAGTGGCCCGTTCAGGGGCCTCCCTGAGGTCTCGTCCCTGATGCCCRGCTTCTTGGTGCCGCTGTTTCCCCACCCCAGGGAGCTGGAGGTGGAGATCTACCACCTGGGCATTCGCCTGGACGAGCTGAAGGGCCACATGGACCACATCCAGCGAGGGCCTGAGCTAGCGGGGTCCGACTCGGCTCTGGACACTTCCCCCGCCACGCACTTCCCCCACCCGCCAACGCACCCACCCCGTCCTTCTGGACAGGTACCCACGCCAGTCTTCCAGACCCCTACCCAGAGGTACCTCTTTGCCCAGGCACACTGGGATGCTGCTTCGTTTCCCAATTGACCTCTTCAGTACGTGTGTGTGAAGTGTGTGCCACATGGGATAGAAGTTCAGCAGGGCTGGGAGGGCCGGAGGTGACCTCTTCCCTCGCAGAGGTTTCTGAATGGTTGAGCTAGTAACCTGTCTGTAGGGGCCGCTGTGGACTGGGGAATTGCTGAGAAGCACTGACTGTATGGTGCTTGCATGTAGTAGCTGTTCAATTCATGGCAGCAATTTTGAGTGTCACACGGGCCAGGTACACGCATAATGGGGTGTTAGCTAGTGAGTCTCATATACCTCACTCTTCACACCCAGCACAAGAATATCTAGGCAGACACTTAGAAGCCGTGTTTAACTCTGCCCCCCACCTTTCCGACTCAGCCCACAGGCACCTGCCCGCTGCATGCGAATTTGGAGGTGAGTCTTGGTGGCAGTGAGGTAGAGGACAGGCCTCCAGACTTCCCAGCCCTGCTCAAGCATAAGGAACTGCAGGTGGAGCAGGATTTCCACGGCCTCCTGGAGAGGTGAGCACCCACCAGGAGGGGGGCTGGCCATGGCCGGGGTGTCTGGGTCTCAGCTGTCCTGCTGGGGTGAGGTCACCGCCTGCTGTGTGTCCTGCAGGTACCTCAGTGTGAAGTCCCTTCCTGAAGCCTTGAGGGTGGAGGAGGAGAGGGAGAGGGACGAGAAGGAGCAGGAGGAAGAGGAGGAGCGTCCTTGCACCCTGGAAGTCGACAGGCCAGCTCCAGCTCCAGGGAGGGCCGAAGCCACCAGGGCTGTCCCAAGGCAGTACCTGGTGCAGGTGGAGAGGAATCACAGGGCCCCTCTGCAGTAAGTCCCCAGGGCTCCCCTACATGTCCCACCCCTGCTCTGAAACCAGAGACGATTGCTGTCCGAGCACGCTGCATGCTCTTCAGAGTGGACATGGCCAGCCCCTCCRGTCTCCACAGCGGGAGGACATGTGCAGGGCRTGTGTGTGCTGGGGGACGTGATTCCTAGCAGGACGGGGACGGTGTTAAGTAGTATCCCTCCCCTCTGACCATCTATGACAGCAAGGACAAAGCCTTCGTGCTATTTGTCTTGGACACCCGTCTTCCTTTGGAGAGAGAGTCAGAGAGACAGGAGCAGGAGACCAAGCCTTGAGCGGCCGGAGGATCCAACCATAATAGGATGGTTTTCATGCTTTTTTTTTTTTTTGTATTTATTTTCAAAGTTAGTTTCTGTGTGTAACATGAGTGCTGGCCTTCCACAATCAGCAGTGGTCTCGGTCTCTGAGTCTGTGGGAGCCCTGGCTGGTGTGGGGAGAATGGGGTGCAAAATCCTGAGGTCTAGGAAATGCTGCTTCACCTCATTGATTTTTCAGAGAACTTCTGCTTGGGTGGATCTGGTGGGTTTTGTTGGGATCTCATTTTACAGTTAAAAAACAAAGTTCAAAGGTACAAAGTGCCTTGCCCGGGGCCGCTCAGTGAGAAGRTGATAGAAGTAGGATGGGGACCCCCGGGTGTCTTGACTGCAGAGTTTTCCCCGGCCAGTCTGGCTCCCAGCACAGGCCCAGCCCCAGGCCTGGCTGCCTGGCTCTGTCAGGGCTCAGAGAGGCTGTGCTTCTCTCCAGGGAGGCCGGAGAGCAGATGGTACCCCGGAAACCACCCAGCTTCCAGACTTCCACAACCAGAGATGGGCACACATCGGGCCTGAGCAAGGCCAGAGCTGCTCCTCTGGGGCCTGCCGTGCCACCTGCCCATGCGTACCACCAGAGCAGCCTCACCAGCCTGGAGGGAAGCGGCATCTCCGAGCACCTGCCACAGAAGTCTTTGCGCCACGCTGGCCGGCCCCACCCAGAGGTGAGTGTCCTCACTGCAGGGGCCCCRGGCGGGCCCGGGCCCTCCCTGGGCCATCTGAGCTTCTCCTCCAGGCCTCCTCAGAGTGCCTGCTGCTCTTGTCTCTGCCAGCCATGGTCCTGCCTGTCACTCAGGGCCTAGGCCCAGGGCCACCCCCGACCACCCCTCCAACTAGAGCTCTTGTTCCTCCTTTGGGGAACTTGGCTGTGTCATAGCTGGCTAGTTCCTGCCTCTGTGCCCTTTGCACCATCAAGTAGCTATTCTCACACTGTGGCAGGGGTCGCAGACACTGTGGGAATGTGACTTAGGTGACAGGCCCTCTCCTAGGATGGGTGATACATGTGAGCAGAGGCGTGCACACTTCTGTCACCCGAGGAGCCTGTGGCCGGGCGTCTGCTCTAGATGGAGTCACTGGGGGCCTGCGCCTATCACTCATGTTCTCTGGGCCTTGCTGGACGCCCRGAGAGTGGGACACGTGTGTGGGGGGGTCTTTGTCCAGTGCAGTGGGTCTGAGTGTGTCTGCAGTCAGGAGAGGCCGGGGCATCTCTGGCCCTGCCGTACATTCTGGGATGAGACCCTCCTTTCATTCCTGCCTTGCCGCAGTGCCTGTCCCAGGAGCGCTGGCTGCTGCTCCTCAGGGAGGCTGAACTTGGGGGTCCTCTCAGGGATGGAGACCCTGTCAGGGCCGGAGGACCCTCAGACCCTGGGCCTGGCTGTGAGAGCGGGGCAGCCTCCCTGGGCCCCGAGGCCTGGAATGCGAGGTGGGAGCACCTGGGAGCACTCCGCAGACTTAGAGGGACACTTCCTCTTTCAGGAGCCCTGGATGGCATCCCCAGAGACAGACAGTGGCTTCGTGGGCTCAGAAACCAGCAGAGTGTCACCCCTCAACCAGACCCCAGAGCACCGACTCACCCACAGCAGGTATCCCAGGACCGTCCCCCTGTCCCCCAGTGCACACACCTGGGACAGCCAGGGATGCCGGTGCCCAGGACGGCCCAGCACAGGGCTCGGGGCTCTGGGTGTCCCAGGCCTGCATTTTACCCCGCTTCATCCTTTATTGCCATCTGACTGCTAGAGGGGAAGAAAAGCTCAGAGAGGGGAAGCCACTTGCCCACTGTCACTCAGCCCATTAGTGACAGTCCTGGAAGTTGGTACTTGTTGAACAAATAAACAACTGAACGGATGAATGAGTGAAAACCGCAGTGGGGACGGTGAGGGACAGAGGCACTGGAGTGGCCATGTGGGAAGCCCAAGGAGAGGGAAAGGGCAGAGGAGACGTGGGTCACCGTGCAGAGTGGTGGCCCCCAAAGTGGGTCCCAAGTGTGTGCTCGAGGAACAGATGAGTCATTCTTTTATATTGTCTACAACAGAAATCGAGCTGTTTCCCAGGCACGTGTGGCAGGTGTGCTGTGGGGCGTGTGTGAGGGTGTGTGACCAGCTGTGTCCTTGGAGATGTACCACCAGGGTGTGGAGGCCACAAGTCCCAAAGTTTGGGAAGCTGTTGATTTAGCACATGGTGGGGTTTGGGTGCCCAGGGCCTGAGGCCTCTCGTGGTGGGACCTCAATGTGTCTGTCCCCGCCTGGTCCCCAGCAACCCAGGAACAGCCCAGCGCTTCACAGCCTCTGCACCCCGTGATGGGCCCTCCCACCTCAAGGCCAGGGGTCCTCTGGTCCCCAGAAGAACCTCTGAGCCCAGCACACCCAGGAGCCGAGCCCAGAGGCACCCCTCCAGCCAGAGCTGTCCTCTCCAGCAGAGGAAGCCCAGCTCCCACCTGGACCGGGTGCTGGCCGCTGAAATGGGTGAGTCTGGGTGGCCAGAGCTGGGTGGGGCCAAACTGCAAGGAGAGAAATATCAAAGGACAGGAGAGTGCCTTAGGATACACAGCGGTACACAGGTTCGTAGTAGGAAAATCTGCAATTACAGGTGGGGTGAACAGAGAGGAGAAAGAAACAAAGACCTGTGAGCTGTTTCTCGTGCTGGTAAAGACGCGTGTTTATTTACAACAGAAACAGGACGTCCTGTAGGTGAAGGGTAGCCACCTCTTTTCCCTCAACATTGGGTCATGAACACATTCCACGTCTGTAAACTCTATGCACGATTCATTTTTTTATCTGTATAAGACACACACAATCTTTTTACTGAAATAAAACAAACATAAAGAAAAAAAATCATACATTAATGAAATTGAACCCAGACCACGATCAGAACCCCAGAACTCAAGCCCCTTCCAGCCACCGCCCCACTCCTGGGACTCGMAACACCTCAGATGAACTCTGCCTCTTCTTTTGGTTCATCTTTAAAAACAAAAAATTTAATTAAACTTTTGATTTTGAGAAAACTGTRGATTCCTATGCCCTTTTAAGATTCAATACACGAGATCTCCTGTGTCTCTCCCAGCTTCTCCCAGGGGTCACATCCTACACAGCCATAGAGCAGGGTCTCAGCAGCTGTCGGCATTGACGGCAATATCGCCCTGGCCAGGAAGAGCCTCAGCTGGCCCTGGATAGCCATGCCCGTCCCCTTCTGCCCCATCCTGGCTCCCAGCAGCCGCTCACCTCTTCCCACGTCSATCATTTTGTCATCTCGAGAACGTGAATTAAATGGAACCAGATGGTGTGTGAACCTTTTGAGACTGATTGGCATTTCCGCTTGGCGTAGTTCTCTGAAGGTTCACCTAGATTGTCCCATGGGTCAACAGTGTCCTGTATATATTGTTGGGTAATGTCCCAAGGGCCCGTTGCTTTTACACATGGGTCAGGGCCACAGGTGTCCACCTTGGTCCCTGTCCCTTAGAGATGTCGGGGTTTGTCATGCTCTTCCCACACACAGGTAAATGTGTGACTGATTCCAGAGGGACATGGAGGTCCCAAAGCTTGTCCCTGAACAACATGATAAGATGGTGGCAGAGTAAAGGGGCCCAGGTGACCCCTTGGGACCTGGTAGTGTGCTAATGGGGAGGGGGCCTCTTGCCAGAGCAGCCCAAAGGCCCAGCTCAGCACCCCATGCTCCCAGAATAGACCAGCCCTCTGGTCTGAGGTCAGCGGGCCACTGGCCACCTCAGGGACTTCTGGGGCCTCTGCAGAGCGCCATCTCCCAACCTCACCGCCGTGTTCCACCACATTCCACCCAGCCGAAGCTTCTGGTGGCCTCTCTGCCTCCTCTCACTTTGGCCTCTCTCTGCCTCCCTAGTGAGCCCTGGCTCAGAGTTTGAGGGGCGAAAGCGGACTTCTGAGCAGCTGCTCCCCAGCAATACGACCAGCCTGCTCCCCACCCCAGCCCCTGCAGCTGCCCCTCTGCCCTGTGAATCTCCAGAGACCACTCCCAACCTCATCCTCTCCAGGACTGGGAGAGAGTAAGTCGGGCACTTGGGCTGTGTGGATCCCAACTCCATGTGGCAGAGGGCAGGGGTGACGGGGCAGGGGCCCTGTAGCTCACACCAAGGGGCCAGGCTGGGGCCAGGCAGAGCCAGCACAGRGCTGCTTCTGTGGGACCTCCTGGAATGGCCGAGAGGTTCACCTGCCTGGGGCCAAGACCCCCCCCCCCACATCTAGGACGGGTCCACCCTTCAGGCAGGGGTCTTCTGCAGGTGGCTCGTTCGCTGCGTGAACTCAGGAGCCACTACACCTGTCTCTCTCTGTCCCTCTGTCTCTCTCTGTTCCTCTGTCTCTCTCTCTTGGTGTCTCTCTCCCTCTCCTCCCTCTCTCCCTCTTTCTGTCTCCGGCAGTTTCTGCCAAGCTCCTCCTTGGTAGGAGAGAGCGGTCAGCAGCCTGCTCAGGCCTCGCCCTCTCCCTCATTGCTCTTGACCCGCAGTCAGGCCCGGGCCTTGCTAGACGGGGTGTCTGCCTCAGTATTCTGGGAGGTGGCTCCGCAGTCACCCCTGGGGCCCCATGGCCCCGCTCAGTGGTGCTCCCCGTGTGCACAGTGGGGCCCAGCCACCGTCCTGGTGGTGTCCAGGGCTGGGTTGACCACGCTGGCCCCTGCCAAGGCCTGGAAGCGTATTTGTCTGTGTTATGCCAGGCCCTGAGGACACAATGGTGGACAGGACCCTGTCCTCGGCCTTGTAAGGCTCACTGTCTCATGAGATGGAGAGGAGCAGGCCACCGCTCCCCAGCATGGGAGGCACAGTGGAGAGGTCCCAGGCTAAGGTAGTGCCGGGTTCGAGCTGCAGGAAGGGACATGGTGTCAGCTGAGACTCAGAGGGGGACAGCTGGCACAGGGAAGAGTGTACGGAGTCCTGAAGGTGAGAGAGTGCCTGTCACCTTTGAAGTGTTGCTGGTGACAGCTGGGCCCTCGAGTGTGAGCTGGTGGCGCTGAGCAGACAGGGTAGGGGAACTCGCTGCTCAGAGMTTCCTCTCAGAGGCTGTGGGTCAGGTCGCACTCCGGATGGGGGCTTGACTCAGAGAAAGCACTGGTGGAACCCTCTGCGAGGGACTGGGGCCCATCCCGAGGACAGCGAGGGGCTGAAGGAGGAGCTTTTGTTTTAGAATGAGGTCTTGGGCCACCAGGGTGGGAGGAGAGGCTTCCCAGCGAGAGAGGACTGGGGGGCCTGGACTCCAGCCAGGGTCCCGAGGCAGGAAGGCTGGTTCTGCTTCTGAGAGGCGATGYTTCGGCCATTGAGCCACAGGACTCGGTAGCTGGTTAGGTTCAGGGTGATCAGGGAATCCGGACGGATCCCTCCAACTTCTGGATGCCTATGGCTTCTGACGCACTGGGCAGGGATAGGGTAGGTTTGCAGGGAAGATGCATTTCAGTGCCAGCTGGGGGGCGGTGACCAAAGAGTTAAGTCAGAAGCCCCAAATCTTGACACAAACCCCAGAGAGGAGAAGTGATGCCCCAGTGTGTGTCCAAGTCCCAGGTCTAAGAGGGGCCCGCCTTCCAGGGAGGGGTTAACGGTGTCAGGAGCCTGGCTCTGGCCGCCTCTGCCCGTGGTTTGCCTTGGAATCGCCAACATGGTCTCCCTGGGGATTGTCATGGAGACCCAGTCCTGTTACACAACCTGGCCGGGACAGAGCTGGAGAAAGGTCTCCAGTGCCACCTTCCACACTTACTGGAGACCTGAGTTTGCTGGAGGTTAGCACCGGGAGACACCCAGGAGTCCAGGGGCCACCAGGCAAAAACTGACCCTGAGGGCAGTCCCTGGAAGCCACCAGAGCCAGCGTAGAGTGTGCATCAGCCCAGAGGAGCATGCCGAGCCGGGCTACAGCGCCACACTGTGGGTAGGGGTCTCTGCCAGCTGAGAGGTGGGGCTGGTGGCCATCGTGCTGGGGCGGCCTGTAGAGTAGGCCCTACGGTGCAGGAGATGATGGGAGAGAGACAACAGCATCTGCTCCTGGCACTAGCACTCGGTGCCATAGCTGTGGGCAAGAGCCGGGCTGTGCCTGGGTCTCRCAGGGGTCATAGAGGGTGTCAAGGAGATGAGGCCTTGCAGGTGCACCCTGCGTCTCCCTACCCGGGCACTTTACCCTTCCAGCTCAGCATGCTGGGCACACCTGATGTCCCCTTGTGTGCGCATGATACTTTGCTCCCTCTGAAGTCTGGATCCAGCTCAGTAACGTTTCTGAGCACCTGTCGGTAGGGTCAGGAGATGGGGACAGCCTGGTCCTGCCTGCCAGTGGCTGAGGGTTGAGGACACAGGTAGACAAGCATCTTCTGCCAGAAGCAGAGAGTGGAACATAGGAAATGTTGCAGCTGAGCAAGGACAGAATGGAGTCAGGCCAGGTTACCAAGTTAAGTTCTCTGGAGAAGAGACAGGGGTGGAGGACAGCCCAGGGCCAGCGCAGATCAGAAGGAAATTGTAAAGTGGACCTTTGGCCCGTGCGTCCTCCTCATCACCACCTGGAGGACAGCTGCTCACACCCTGCATGTTAGGAAGGCCGATCCCAAAGGAAGGTTCTGATTTGCTCACAGAATGCACAGGGACATGAACTCAGGTGTCCAGATGTGTAGCAAGAAAAGGGGATGCACAGGAAAGTTCTAGAATCATTCAGCAGCAGAGTTGGCCCCTGTGCCTGCCAGGAAGGGACAAGACCACCGTATCCAGGCAGCCCTCAGGCGCCTCCAGCTCCAATCCTGTGCAGCTGTTCCGTTTCTGTCTCTCCCCCGCCAGCCAGGCCATCCGMGAGCTGCAGGCAGAAGTGTCCCGGCTCCGTCTGCAACTGGAGGACAGCCTGCACCGGCCACACCAGGGCAGCCAGGCGCACCCAATGACTGCCTGTGACCACCCCGCCCAGACTCAGGACCGGCCAGCTGCTTCCTCAGCCACCTGGGGCTCCCACTGTGGCAGGTGGATGACCTACCTCTGTCCTCACCTCTGTCCCTGTGGCACCTGTCAAAGATAGATGAGGCCTGCCTGTGGCTCACCTAGACACGGGACGCAGGCACGGCCCCTTCCCCTCTCTCAGTCCATCATTCATGCACTCTCACAGTTTTCGTGGTAGAGTATTTGATGCATAAAAGAATGTCTAAGCTTATGTGTTAGTAATAAAGCATGAGGCAAAGTATATCCCTGAACCTACCTGTTGCTGAGGAGCTAGACCTTTTTCAGGATTCTCATGTACTCATTTAGTGGACATGCATCTGTGAAGACAACTTATAAAATCAACTCACTTCTTTTGAGTGTTTCAGTGGAGAGCTCTAGGCTAAGGCTTTTATGGATAGTATCTCATTAATCCTCCAACAGCCATCAGAGGCCCGTGCTCTTACTATCCCTGTTTGACAGATGAGGAAACTGTCCCTCAGACTGGCTACAGAGTTTGATTTTGTCCTCTACATTGTCCTTCTCCCGTTGTGCAATAAACAGTTCTCCAGGTGGCCTTTTTGTGGGCCATCTGTAAAGGCTGTGCGAAACCTCATCTAGTGACATTATTTCCCTTCCCGTTTGCTAGTAAATCCACAGAGCGATTGTCCGGGGAGCCTGAAGGTGCAGAGCAACTTGCAGGAAGACGGCGAGCCAGGTCCTCCTCAGTGCCTCGGGAGGTGCCCCGACTGTCCCTGAGTAAGTGAGTGCTGGCCAGGCCTGGTTTCTGGAGGCCACATCCTGGGCATGTTGCTCAGTGGTCATGGACCACAGCAGCAGAACTTCCAGGAAACTGGGAGGAGGTCCTTTGTGCATCGGTTGTGGCTGTCACCATGCTCTGAATTGTAGTGCGTGTCTGTGTGTGGCCCATGCTTTGTGCGGGGCAGCCGTAAGGGCTCTGCAGACGTCACCTCAGGGACCTGCACTTCAGGGGTCATCCTGCACATGTTCTGCACATAAGGACCTTGAGGCCTAGAGAGCATGGGGACATGCTTAAAGGAACCTGGATCTGAGTCCCTGATTCCACCACGTTGTCACCACATCATCCTCTCTGGGTTGCTACTCCCTTGGAGCAGTTAAAGGGATTGCAGTGGTGATGGCATCTACCTCTCGGGATTGCTGCAGAGGTACAGGACAGCACCCCAGTGAGTCTGGACTGGCTTAGCGCAAGGCCAGGGTCCCAAGGTGTAGACCGTATTCCCCGGAGGTAGCTCAGGATCACAACCTAGGCATCGGCCTGAGGCCTGAGCTTGCCATGAGCTCACTCCTCCAGCTGGGCCCCACCTCTGCCCCCCTAAATCCCCTCTTTCTACTCCAGGTTTGGACTCTGAGCCACCCTCCCCTCAGCTGTCATCTGGGAAGAACAGGAGCTCCGAAAATGGTCCCCGGGCCACTCAGGAGGGAATCAGAGGGACAGGCAGCAGCAGACGTCCCGACAGGGTCTCCTTCCGGGGCCAGTACACAGGTGGGTGAAGCTGGGGTGGGTGGATGCAGTCCAGGGGAGGGGCTCTTCCATTGCCAGACCTTTTCCATTCACCCCTCAAATCTCATCTGCCATGTTCTGATAAGAGGAGCACCAGGGGCCTGGCCTCTGCTCTGTTCTGACAGGAGGAGCACCAGGGGCTGGCCTCTGCTCTGTTCTGACAGGAGGAGCACCAAGGGCATGGCTTCTGCTGTGTTTTAATAGGGGGAGCACCAGGGGCGTGGCCTCTGCTGTGTTCTGATAGGGGGAGCACCAGGGGCGTGGCCTCTGCT